CACTGGATTGGAGGTGGAAATGCCCCAGACTTTCAGTCTAATAAGGTGTGTCTGCGGCCTGGTATTTGGTGCTCAGCGTACAAACAGGCGTCTCTGTATAGGGGACCTGGATCCTGCTCCCAGAATGGAGTTTTTCCATGAATTTCAACAGGAACAGGATCAGATGCTAAATGAATAACCATGCAGTTTGGCCCAGGCTATAATCCCAACAGCAGATTTCCTCCACAGGTCGGACTAACCCTTCGCATCTCCACAGAAGAGAAAGTCCTTTCAAACACTGTATTAAAGCTGTGCTATTTCCCTTAAAGGGACTTGAAACAGAGCCATCCAATAATATTCATTACCCTCCTCCCAGCCAGCATGAGCAACCATGGAAAACGAGAAAGTTGAACTGTGGCCTCCCACCCCCTCAGTAAAACCGTCCCAGTACAGGAGTTTAGTTCTGCATCTGGCTTGCTGTCTCCACTTGGCTGTTGGGAGCGTCTGCCACACAAGGGGTAGACAAGTGTTCCAACTCATAACGTCCATTCTCAGCCATCTCCTTGGTGGTGCTCAGGCATCCCTCTTCTCCTGCCAGCTTTTTACTCTTCTTATGTTCAATGATCTGCTGGAGCTGGTGCCCGGCATAGTCTGGTTTGGTAGTTAGCGGATTCGCTGGCACAGTCATCCCAAGGATGTCTGATACCATGTAGGGCCGGAGCCAGCCGACCAGCGGGGTGCTGCCGGGGCTATAGTGGGTCTGTTTGTGGTAGAAGAGGAGCCCATCTACCTGTAAGAGGAAGAGAGAGACAGAATGGGCAGCATTTACATCAAGGGACGGTGATATTTCAGGTGTAAGGGTGCACATCTTGAGATCTGAAAGCAAACACATTCAACCTTGACGCTGCCCAGCTCTAACTACCCTCTTTTCACTTTCAAGCGAAAACAACTGGACATTCATTTGATTAATTTCAGACAATGAAATAAACCAAGGAAGAGCAAAGTGGAAACCTAAAAGTTCCAATACTGTCCAATTAGCACCCCTTTCAATATGAATACAATTAAATGCTGAATGGGTCATTTCCATCAGATCTCTGGAGAACAGAGCAAATGTTAGGCTAATAGCAGCTGTTCAGCAAATAGCCACATTTTTGATTTGGTTGCTATGCTCTCACACTGCAGAAATGCAGGTTGATTTTTAATAAAGCAGCACTCAGAATCATGGAATTATAGAACTGGAAGAAACCTCGAGAGGTCATCCTATTCAGTCCCCTGTACTCCCAGCAGGAACAAGCACCATCTGGATATCCCTGACAGATGTCTGTCCAACCTGCTCTTAAATATCTCCAGTAATGGAGATTTCACAACCTCCCTAGGCAATTTATTCCAGTGTTTAACCCCCGACAGGAAGTTTTTCCTAATGTCCAACCTAAACCTTCCTTGCTGAAATGTAAGCCCGTTGCTTCTGGTCCTATTTTTCTCCCTCCTCCTTCAAACAACCTTATAGACACTTTGAAAGCTGTTATGTCCCCTCTCAGCCTTCTCTTTTCCAGATTGAAAAAAACCAAGTGTTTAAAATTTCCCTCAGAGCTCATGTTTTCTAGACATTTGATCATTTTTGTTCCTCTTCACTGGACTGTCTCCAGTTTGTCCACATCTTGCCTGAAATGAGGTGCCCAGAACTGGACACAGTAGTCCACTTGAGGCCTAATCAGTACAGAGTAGAGCAGAATGACTTCTTGTGTCTTGCTTACAACACTCCTGTTAGCACATCCCAGAATCATGTTTGCTTTTTTTGGAGGGGGGGGGGACAGTATCATCCTGACGACTCATATTTAACTTGTGGGCCACTAGGACCCCTAGATCCCTTTCTGCCGTACTCCTTCCTAGGCAGTCACTTCTCATTCTGTATGTATGAACCTGATTGTTCCCTCCTAAGTGGAGCACTTCGCAATGGCTTTTATTGAATTTCATTCGATTTTGCACAGACCATTTCTCCACTTTGTCCAGATCATTTTGAATGATAATCCTATCCTCCAAAGCACTTGTAAAATGCATGTAATTGTGTAACGCTGAAAATTTCAGTGGTTACATGGTTACACATGGGGCAGCAGCTGGCTCCCGGGCTGCTCACGTATGCCAGGAGCTGTCTTAAAGCTGGCTCCCGGCAGGCACTGGCTCCCACCTGCCTTTTCACTCCCAAGGAGCTGGTCGCTGCCCTGTGCTGCTGCTTCTGATACAGAGGCAAAAGTGAGGAGTGGCAGTCGGCTCCCTGGGACATACCCGTGAATATGTGGAACAGTAAATAATGATTCCACACATTGCGAGGGTCTCCCTGTAGCTCCCTAGTTTGTTAATGAGAAGGTGATGCAAGACTGTATCAAATGTCTTACTAAAGTCTAGCTATTCCACATCTACAACTTCCCCCTTATCCACAAGACTTGTTGTCCTATCAGGTGGCTTAACATGATTTGTTCTTCACAAATCCATACCCACTTACATATCACTTTCTCATCAAGATTTTGTAAATGGATTCCTTAATTACTTATTTCATTATCCTGCCTGGTATAGAGGTTAAGCGTCAGGTCTGCAATTCCCTGGGTTGTCCTTATTTCCCTTTTCCAGTCTTCCAGAATCTCTCCCATATTCCATCACTTTTCAAAGAAAATAGCTAATGACTCAGCTATCTCCTCAGTCACCTCCTAGAGTATTCTAGGATATATTTCATCAGGCCCTGGTGACTTGAAGACATCTAAAGTGTCCAAGCAATTTTTAACTTGGTCTTTTCCTATTTTAGCTTCAGAACTTCCCTCCTTTTCAACGAGCATTCACTATGTTAGGTGTCCAATCACCACCAACCTTCTTGGTGAAAACCAAAATTGAACCTCTGCTATTTTCACATTTTCTGTTATTGTTTTTCCCCTCTTCATTGAGTAACGGGCCTATCCTATCTTTGACCTTCCTCTTGCTTCAAATACCGTATTTTCCGGCGTATAGGGCGACTGGGTGTATAAGACGACCCCCTATCTTTTTAATTAAAAGATAGGGTTTCATCTTATACTCCAGCGCCCCTCCGCCTCCTTTGCTCCCGGTGTCCCTGGTCTGCTGGAGATGGTCCCCAGCACACCAGAGGCACCGGGAGCAAAGCCGCTGAGGACGCTGGCAGCTTCCCCCGAGGCTTTGCAAAGCCACCGAGGGG